AACAATTAAATGTACTAATAAAATTCTTATATCCATTTTCTGTTGAGAGTCTGAAGAGGTCATTTTTGCTATTGTCTCAAACGTCTATTTTGAAGTTTCTAGAAGGAATAGTTCAGAAGTTTGTGTTTTTAAACAGAACAGCAATACAGTGATTAGCTGGCTGAAAAAGAACTTTTTGTGAATTTGCAGTCAATACTAAAGCTATCGAATAGGCTCATCTGCCCTTTTCTAAAACCTTAAAGATTAAATTTTTCCCCTTTCTAAGAGATCATTTATGTGTAGGTAGCAATCATTTACTCTTTAAAAGAAAGTGTGATATTTTTGGGATTTTGTGGCATTTTTAGGTGACATTTGCTATAATTTCACTATCAGCGTGGATTTTCGTACTATTCAGTAAATTCTTCTGTTCTCATTTCACTAATTTACATCTGTTTGCATATCACGGTTCGTTTCTCGCACTTTTTGGAAGAGAAAGTAGCAAAATTTTGATGGGACCTCTGAATAATTTTATCCTTTTCCATTTTTCCGGGAAGATAATTGCAGTCCGCTTAGAACTGCAATTTTTTTTTCCATTGTTTTCCTGACATCTTTTGCCTTTTCATGGATTTTACCCACCGAAACATAAAATATTGCTCTCTTGCTTTTTTAACTAACTTAACCGCCATCATTAACTCAATGCCTTTTATTGAAATTATTTGCTCCCATGTTGTCGAGAAAACTTCCAACTTCTGTTATTAGTTCTCTTGATTTCATTATTGAAGCTGAGGTGATAAAAGAATCGTTATAAAGGGACCATCTTTTCGCAATGTCAAATATACTGGAATATTTCATCGTTACGATCCGCCCTCTTATTACTGGTAGCATTCGAAAAATTGTTCGAATTTGTCATTTTTCGCCGTTTGATGAAAATTTTCGAGCGAAAACGATGTAATAATGTACACTTTTGTGTCACCCAAATCAACAAAGCTTTCAGCACACGTAATGACACTGATGATGAGGTAACTCTTTCAGTGGTTTCGGGAACAATTTTTAATTTCTGAAATTTTTTTAAGTTAATGTGATAAAAATGACAATTTTTTAGTTATTCAGACTATTAGGTTTAATATTTTCGTTCAGAATCCATGGTTATGGTCATAAGACAAAGAAAATTAGCAAGGGTTGTAATTTTTGAGTTGCACTTTTATTTGAAACCAAGCAATTGTCTTTTATTTCGATTAAACAATGACAAAGTGATAGTTTTTGAGTTGAGTTTCAGATCATAGTGTACGAAAGGGTAAAAAAAGAATGTCAAAATGGCCATACTGATTATGGTATCAAGCTAACTCCATACTCAATCGATTCAGTTCGAATTCAGTGATCTGTCAGTTTCACTATTGCAGAGTTTTTCAGAAATGCTCCAGAAGTATGACAGTTTAGTTGAATTTGATTTGCTGTACTTTTGTATATATGTTTACATTGATTGGAAATATTTGAATTTTACTCTGAACTTATCCACGACATCACCTGATACTTTGGTGATTGGATATCTTCACGATATTGTGGTTATTTCATAGATTAGTTTGATTTCAGCTTTTCAGTCTCTGCATTCAAAGTTCAATTGTTTATTGACTTTTTCATATCTCTTTTTTTTACTCTAACTATGTGAAACATCCCCAATTTCTTCCATCCGGCCACTGCTGCAAACTTTTCAGTTCCTTGTTTAATAACTCTTTCCAGAAATGTTGTTCAAGCCCTAAATCCTTTCTTCGATTGTTTGTTGTCAATGATCAAACTCAAGTTTTTCGTCACTGAGTCACGTTCTTATCTAGATTTCTTCCTTTCTTTGTCAATCCTCTAATGACCATCTTGTTTACAAACATTAATTCTTCTTTCATCACATTTTAAAATATTTCTCACGTGTGTAATTACGATATAATTGAAAAAATATTGGGTATTAGTCAACAGTTAAACAATGCAGAACAGCTTATCATATACAGATATCGTTTTGAAAAAAATAGCGAAATCATCTATCCGTACCATCCATATCCATGAGGATTGTAATGATAGCCATAAGGTAAGTTAAGTGGCGGATGGAAAGCACTGCCACCATATGATGGATAAAAACCAGTACCCCCAAACCCGTATGGCTGATGACCGGAGAAATCATTTTGATAGCCTCCACTTTTAATTTTCACCTTGAAAAGCGGAGTTTTGAATTTGTATGTGTAGGGCGAATTATTTAGATACGGATTGTAGCCACCAAGAAAACCATAACGTTTTACTCGAATGCTGAAAATTTGGCAAGATTTGCAAATAAATTGAGCTGCCGAAATGTAAAAAGGTTTGAATTCAAAACTGAAAAAGAAATTAAAAATGAACAGCAGTAAGGGATGAAGAATTGGGAAAAAGGCATACTTTTCCATTTCGTCATTATCTTTCGTTAAATGTGAATTGAACATCGGCAGAGCCAAGCATGTTGCGCAGAAAAGGATTGTTAAATACGTTTCCCTGAACATTATCTAAAAAGAAATTAAATTTAACTCAATAGATAGAATGAGTATTGATTTCTTTCATTTTATCAGGCAACACAAAATGCTTAATATTTTAAAATGTGCCTTATGAGTGAGGCAATCTACAGAATCTACAGATACAGATTGCTGGATTTATAAAAATCCTTCAAAAACGAAAACTTTCGTAAATACATCAAAACATGAAATAAATACTTTAAAACTTATTCTTTAATGACTAAATTTAAAATAACAACAATCATTATATTACCACTATAGATTTTAAAAATCCTGAAAATATCGTGCGCTCAATACAGAGAGTATATTTTAGGAATTGGCTACCGTATACTGACACAACTAATCGCACTAATAATATTCAAATATGTTTATTGCTTTGATTTAAAGCTCAAATATAATAATAAAACAAGCAAAACAATTAATATTATAACAAGTAAGTGAGTAATTGAGAAAAAATGTGGAAAAAGGTACGCTGTAGAAAAACAATACAGTAAACATTTGGTGATTTAAAATTGACCAATTTTAAAAAATTTCTAATCTTCGATTTTTATGAACAATTTTCTTTTTTTTTTAGTAATACTAAAATAAAACGAATGATATGACAGTTGACGAAATTCAATATAAATGAATGAGTCAAAACATGCATTCATATCCTAAATGATCAACGACTTCTAATTTTATCAGTCAGTTTCGGCGACTCATTTTTATCTCCAGCTTTATTTTTGATTTCAAACGCAAACCTATAATTTCTTGTTTCTGACTTTCTTTCATGCCCACCCACATTTTCAATTTGATCTTTGATTTCGTTTAATATTATTCAACAACAGAAATGAAATCAAGAGAATTGCGAAATTTTGCCTGAAAAGTCTTTTTCTAATTAGTGACTTCTCGAGAGTACCTCCAGCTAGAATTGTAAATTACTGATAAAAGAAGTTAAAGGAATAGGATTTGAGAATGATACTTTATGATGAAATAGTCAAATAATACTCAATCCGAATCGAGTGCAATCGAATGCATTCAATTTAGTAGAGAGAGATTGCTTTAAGCTTCATTAACATCAACCATCAGTAAATCGAAAGCTAATACAATTTGATGCATTAGATTTCCAACATTTTTTATTTTTAATTTTAGAGATTATTACATTAATAAATCTGAATATCTTTGGTTATAGTTAGACCTAAATCTAGTAATGATATTCTCTCTGAGTATGAAGAGGAGGATATCCAAACTATCCAGGTTGCCATATCAGCCACCAAATGGGTACATGTTACAATCGTGCGGAAACGGGAACGTACGGAAATGTTTTGATTTTCACTTTATATAAAGGTGTTTGAACTTGCATGAGTATTCCAGTCATTCCATTGTCTTTTCACTCTGTCCTGAAATATGCATATTCTGTCAAATTTGCATAAAAAGTAATGATAGATGGCAGCTTGAATTGTACTTCAGACCAGGCAAGATCTTAAATGCGGAGAATAATGGTGATTATTGGTAATCTTGCAAAATTTTGATTTCAAAACAAGAAATAAGCTAATTCAGAAAGAATTACAACATGGAACAGGAAGGTATACAAGACTGAGTTGTAACCGCTGGAAATTGATGTTTTGAGTAGTTCAATGATTCATCCACCCTTTTTAGAGAGTTATTCAATTCAGAAATTGAGTGAACTAGTTATCAGTATGAAAGTTATATTTTCTTTCTATACAAAGGAAAATCACATACATGCGGTTCACACTGCTCCTTATTTCAGGATCACTGCGGAGTAATAGGAAAGATGTCATCACGAACATGGAGACGACAATAATTGTAGGTAATATGTGGTGCATCTCCTAATATATGTGCCTGATTAGTTAATCGAACATGTTTCCGCCCCTGATTCTTAAACGCTAGTCAAAATTATGCAGCACTAGGCTTAAAATCTACACCAGGTGATTTCCATTGTGTCTTGTGCTCCTTTGGATATTCCCATTAAGAAAATGAGCCATATGCTGGGCCTTATGAAAATATGCCTTGTGCTCTTCTGGATAAGTGGAGGGGAAGAGATGCTTACATTGCTTTAGAGGCGATAAACTTAAGTTTCAAAAGATTGGACTTTTACTAATGATTCATTTATAAAACAAGACCGAAACTCTTTGAATTCGAGCAGTGCTGCAGAACATCTCTTTCATTTTAATTCATATATTTTTTTCGAAACGGAAATACTGACAATGTGGTCCATTTCGGAACTTGAAATTAATTGTTTACTGTTGAGGACAATTAGGAAAACAATTTTCTTCAAGCGCCCAATCGGTAGGAATATTTCTTCCATTGAAAAATCAGAGAATTTAATATCAGGAAATGGAGAATGAAATTTAGAAGTATTGGGCTGATAGTTTTTTTGAAATAAAAAAAAAAAAAATTTCACGACGGTTTTGCCAATTTTTCTGCGTTTTATAGTCTCATCGCATAATGAACAAATCACTCCCATTCCACTGAACAAAGATCAAATTATTTACTTGGTATGATTGTGATGTTGGCAGTAGTATATGTCAGCGAGTAGAAAATGAATTGGTCAACTATGCCTTCCCTGATATTTTCTACCTCCGCCCCAACTTTTCTCGTCACACTTTATGATACTTTCCGGTTCGTTTGCAGCAGTAATTCATTTTGCAAGAAAAAAATCTAAAATTTTCATTTCACAGCTTATACCTGATGAATGTCTTCGTATAAAGTGTGAGGTCAACCCTTTCAAAATCCGTAATAAATGACTCACCAAGTTATGCATGAAGTTTCTAATTCACATTACTGAGTTCTCATATAGTATTTGACGAGTACCACTTCGGGATTTTTACATCTCTTCTCATTCAAAGTCACTCTCATGCTGAATAATACCATTTCACCCAATGCGGTAACTAGAATTCGATATTGCATATGCAGCAAAGGAAGTCCCTTGCTTCCATAAACATTTTGAAGTGATGGGAACTAATAATTTTGGTAAAAGTAATTGGATTAGATTTAACGAAAATAAATAATTTTAGGGTAACCAATTAGCCAAGCTTTAAAATGACTAAAATAAAGAAGTTCATTCTCATCTCGTTCAAATAATATGATTTTTTAAGCTTTTTCATCCCCATTTTTCACCAACAAGTGTCATAGCTAAATTTGAAATTTTGATAAATTTTCAAAGAGATCTATCGGATTGCCAGGAGAAGCAATTTTTTGCTTACCCATTTCATTGCCTTTTCTCTGATGACCTGTCCCGTGCTATACTTATTCCTTATCTTTCGCCTTCCTACTTTCATTTTCTTACTAATTAATCAATAATTAGTTATTCAATAACTAGTTATTGAATTATTCAATTTGATTTATTCAACTTTTATTCAATTTGAAGCCCAAAAAATGATGATGGTACCATCTGTTAAAAATTTACAGCATAACGCTTATGCTAATATGATAATATGATATCATACTT